TTGCCGTCGGTGAAGAGGACCGCGTCTGCGTCGCAGCAACATGGGGTAGGCAAAAGTCGAACAGCAGCAGTAGTAGTTAATGGTCAGCAGTAGCGGCAAACATACCCTGCTGGAGGGCGTGCATTGTGTTGCGTCGTCGCTGTACAGAATATTGCTCTCCATGTGCCTATCGGTAGGAGTAAGTGCGGTATGTACTGCTCAAGAATATGGCCACGCTCGGGTAGCCATACAGCTGAGCCTCGACAAGCTACGTTACGACTGGTGCACTTACTAAAGGGTTGCATCCTGTGATTGCCGCCCAAAGGATGGGCCGTGGCTTGACAAGGTATCCTATGCATACAGCAGCAGTATCATCTTGGTTCTTCTTGCGGCAGCAGCCCGTCATGGCCTGGTGAGTGCAGCAAAAATGCAACTTTGGCCGGACCCGGTACCCTACACCCTACGTTGAGCATGTCATGTTGAACAGCACACCATGAAGGCACCGAACCCAGCCTGTCTCCATCATGACGGTTGTCTTACGCACTCGAAACCTGCCTCTCTCTCTCCCGCGTTCGTTGTGTCTCACCTCCGCTCATCGACGTCCTTCCCATGACCTCGAACGTGAGCCACGGCTGCGAGAAGTATTGATCCGCCTCCAAGTTTTCCTTGAGCCACTTGAAGAAGCCAGGGACAGCGATGTCCTTGTACCCCTTCGCCACTGCCGCGTGCTTGGCCTGTGTGGAGACAATCCCGGCGTTGCGCTTGACCGCCAAACACGCGTACACGATGCACACGTTCTGGAGGTGCTTCAGCAACTTGGTGTCCGTCAGGCCGGAGCTCCTCTTGTCCCGCAGCATCGAAATCACTGTCTCCGCATACGAGTTGAACTCCAGCGGGAGAGACTGTACGCCATCTAGTTTCATAGCATTCATGGTCTGCTGTACGGGATGCGACTGCTGTGTGCAGAGTGGCGCTGGTGCAGAAAAGCGTTGTGTTTTGTGGTGTGCGCGGTGTGTGCTGTGAGCGGCGGAAATTCAAAAACCACTGTGCCCCCGCGCGCCGAACGCCACCGAAAATCATCAGGAAACCCCAGTTCTAAAAAGAGACCTCGTAAGAAGGGGTTCATCTTTTTTGTGTATCTTTTTTTGGGCTGTCTTTTTTGAGGGAAAAAAGGTCCAGAGAAAAAGACTTCGTAAGAAATGGCCTTACCATCTGGGTTTCCAGCGACAGTGATCACTTACTAGTTTTCCGACTACAGCAGTTCAGTATATGTACAATTTGTAGAGTGCTGTGGGCCATGGCTGCTTCCCCAATTGAATTGAACAATTGAAACATTTCTCAACGAGGCGGGCCGTGAGACTTCGTGCCTTTGTCGGGGACATGGTCACGCGCGGTCAACGCCACGAGGTGATGGCCTCTGGGACTCCAGCCTGCAAATGAGTTGTAAAAACGTCGTTTTTTCCCCGGCCGATTGAGCTGCGGTGATTTATTGATTACTGGTGTCGATTCAATATTGGAACATCTTATATGTAGACTAGTGAGAGGGGGGGTTTACGATCAATATTGTTCCGCGTACTTCCAGCGAGCGGTAAATTCACGATTTGGTTGTCTAGTTCCAGCAGCAGCAGTCCACGTTAGTTGATTGAGCCGACGGCAGGCGAGGACGCTCAAAACAACGTGAACTCGACGGCCGGATCCAACCCAGGCGCTCATGTCGCTGAGACGCCGACAACATAAATCAGATTCTACAGAGCGCGAAAATGCCTCGTAGACGAACACCCAAACTCAGAGGCCATCCAATCAATAGCAGCCACAAACAGACAAGCGCCATAGCGCTTGGGAGAAGCCGCCTATTCCCGAACAGTCTTCTCGGGGGCAGCATGGTTAACACCGAACGCTGTCCCCATCTCATAGCACAAACTCGGTAAAAAACACTACACCATGCCATTGCCTTGCAATGCATATACATTGTACGCATACCACATTGATCAACAAACGCAGCCTACATTGCTCAACAAACATCGATGGTTCCACACACCTCTACACAAACCCTGAACTCATTCGCCATGGAAACATAACCGACGACGAAAGATGATGGCGTAGTACTACCACAAATACCGGGTGAAACGGGCATTTCGAAGCATTGAGCGCACATACAACAGCGTGCGATAGGTAGTGGCACGAGGGTAACGCATCAAGTGAGAGAAGTTAAATCCACCTCTCGGTCGTGGTCTATCAAAATCTAACTGCATGACCACAATCAGTCATCATCAACACAAACAAGGGGAGTATAGAACAGACCGGGCGTGGGGGAAACGCACGGGCACAAGCACAGCGCAAACCCTTCAGCGCGCCACCAGCCATGCCGTCGTCCATGTGAGAAGACACCACACGATCCCAGGACAACGTCACCCCCCCCGGGTCGTTGCCCAGAAAAAAAACTAAGGTCATTCCCAGCTGCCATCCATATGCAAGGAAGTAAGCACAATATGCCGAACACCCTCAAGACTCGCCGAATACCTCACGGCGCCTCGCGCTTGGCCAAGTGAGAGCCTGGTCCGGTGAGAACGCGGCGTGCTCCGTCCCGGCGTTGTAGGGATGAGAGGTCACTGGTCAAACGACTACTAGGCTTGCACGACTATGAGTACACCCCACCCCCGCGGGTCGTTGCTAGGTACTTCTCGGACCGGTCCTCGGTCCGACCCCGAACCCTGTATAACGTGCCGCAGCGGGGTGAGCTTCAAAATTTATGTATGCGGCATACGCCAAACATGTACTCGCTTTCACAGCCGCCGCCGCCGCCGCCGCCGCCATCAAACGTCCCCGTGTACTTGGTGGAGGGGTCAGACCGCCGTGCTTGCCGGCTCCGCGGGCACCGGCGCCGCCACGGCGGGTATTGCAGGCCCCGTCAGCGCTGGCGCCGGGGCTTGCGTAGATGCGGCCGACGCGAAGACTGCCGTGCGCAGGGGCTGTAGACGGCGTTTGGGAACAGCGGGAAAAACAACGTCATCAGGGAAGAGGTACGCCGTTCGCTAAAAACATCACAAAAACCTGTCTCCCTACAATTGTATAACGAACGCGAGTGTCTGTCCAATCAACGGGGTGGGGATGTGTACATGGCGGGCGGCGGGGCTTCAAGAAGTGATCAATGTGTGTGTGTGGGCTGAACATCCTATCGATCGTCGATAAATCAACTGACAAGAAGAACATGTCAGCCCCGGCGGGACAACGAACGCACAAAGATTTTCCGACTACTGATCGCCCCTGACAGGGGGGAGGGGCGCAGAAATGACTGGAAAGACGAGGCGCCCGGCACTCGGCGTTAGGATCCAGACCACGTGCACAAGAAGACAGTGCAACATTTCTATCAAGCTCCCCTCCTGCGCTACGTACAACAGTGTTCGTGGCAGCGTGGTAGCACCAGTGCCCTGCAATTGTGTGTTCGCTAGTAGCGTCTCTGCAACTTCCATGGACCGCCAAGCGCCTGGCCGTTGAAAGTACGCAGCCCCGTACATGACCGAAAAAAAAAACGTGAGCGGAGCACAAAATAAGCGTTTTCTAGTCCCCGCCCCCCCCCGGACCGGAAGGCCGTGGAGGAGAATGGACGACAGGGTTGGTTCAGTCTCCGCATCAAGAGTGCTTGGAAAAACACAAAACTCAACACCATCACTTAACCTTCTTATTCTGATACCCATTGATGCGCCTGTGTGCCCGGTGGACGTGAAACGGTGGGGAGTGAGACGATAACCCACAGGCATTCTTGACCGCTTCTGAGAACACTCTCTACCCGCACTCCGTCGAACTGCAAACATTTCCACCTGCAAGTATGATCGGGACATATCGTTCGCAACTATATCGGGGACAAGAAAATCGAACGCACCGGCTGCTGCTGCTGCTGCTGCTGCTGCTGTTGCTGGGTCGGAATGGCAGCGGCGTTGGGGGCGTTGTTCATCGCCATGCACTCGTTTAAACACTTGAAGAAGGGCCCGTCTCCAGAGCTGCGGGCGAAGGTCAAGACCGAAACGGCCTGCACCACTCCCAACACAACCGCTACGACCGCCAAACCGAAGGTCGCTCCGAGGTCGGCCTCGCCGAAGCCGAAGCCGGTATTAAACTCTGGGCGCCACCGGGGAATGAAGTAAACAGCAATGGTGGCGGCGTTCGCGTCCACGCGTGGGGGAGGGGGGAGGGGTTAGAAGTCATTTCCGAATCACGGATTTGCGGGGACACAGCGGGTGACAGCACTTGAGCGAGGTTGATGGTGTTGTCGCGGTCGTTGATCGCCGTCTCCCATTGCAAAACAAGTGCATGCAATCCGAGGGGTGAGGAGAGGACAGAGACACACACACAGAGAGA